GACTCAAGGGGTTAAAGGGGGGGAGGGGAGGGGGGGGGGCATCAGAAGCAGTAGTGTGTAACACAAGTTAGTCATAAAATAAATATTGTTTTGAACTTACTGCACAATGGCTTGTCCTCTGGTCAGTCCCTTTAGCTTCTTGTAATGTTCAATGACTTTGTCCTCACTGCAAATGGAAAGATGAAACACTTAATGAAAAACCCATCGAGTGTTACACATTCCAGCACACAGAGGGATTGTGAGTGGGCTCTTTCTTTGACACACATTCTGCCTGCTCATGCAGTAAATGCAGTCTGGCCTGCTTGCCAGCTGATAGCTCTCATCTAACTTCTCCTGCAAAATGCATCCCATTTACTTCCCACTCTAATCATCCCTTTTTAATAGAATTGAGAGACTGCGAAACTCGCCTGAGGCTTAGTGGACAGACAGAGACAACAGAGAGGTGTTTTCATGTGCTCACCAATGCCTGTGATTTTAATTTGTGTATTAAAGTGAGCCTGCAGCAGCCTCACATGACCGGTGAGCAGAAGAGGGGGGGGGGCAACAACAGCAGTGTGGATTGAACAGACAGATAGGAATCCTTTAGATAGACAGTGGCTGTCAGCACCTCCCCGAGCACTCGCAGGGCTAATGTGCAAACGTAATTAACGCGACCCGGGCATTAATTAGTCACCTCATCAGAGAGGAAACCATCTGCCAAGTACCGGGATGGTCTAGTAGACACCGTAACACGCCTGTTTGGGGAGTTTATATCCAGTTTACTTCGTTTTAACATTGATATTGCTTTGTATGTTGGGGGCGGGAGATTCATGTGATTGGTTGTTGGTCGCGTTGCTCGCAAAAAATCCCCAAGCTTTCAGAGACGCCCACCTCCAAGATTTTTTTTAAGCTGCTGCGTGGACGGGGCGTAATAAGCAGCATATTCTTCATGTACAATATTGACGTTCATCTGCACACCTTGACGTATGGGAAGGTGATTAGGAGAGGACGCATGGTCCATTTAAGTTACAAAGATGAAATGTTATGGCAACAAATGAGATTGTATGAGTTGTTATGCTTAAATGTGTGTGACCAGATGAATGTCTATGATTATGAAAAACCATATCATTTTGTAGAACAGCCAGAGTAGCGAGATAAGGGGAGGTGGAGTCACCGCCTGCCCTTATTATCCTTTTCTGTTTCTGTATACATTTGGATCTGTATGATAGTGTCTTCATGTTAAGGTGACTAGAACCTTTTAGAAGAAGTAGGACACAAAAAAACACAACTGAATACTTGTTGCGAGAAATTATGTAAATCGCATTATTAAACAAAGTTAGGGGAATGTAGGTCAATTGAGACTGATGCAAAGCCAGTGTTTCCCCTAGGTTTACTGCTTTGGGGGGGTGCTGCCTGAGCGGGGGGA